GTCAATGATTTTAATTCAGAACGTATCCGTATTGATATGTCATTATTATTGAATAGTTATCCACCAAATTTTATTACTAAACAACTCCATCGATTCTTTCGTTTCAATAGTGCAATGCCTGTATTAACTGAATTAAATGAAGATGTTTACCACCATTTACATCAAACTCTATTACAACAACCAACACGTCGTGAGAAAAAACTTATTAACATGATGCATGATTCAATTGCAAAACCATTCGTATTACAACCAAAAATATGAAATAAAGAAATAATGTATCCATGTTATCTCTATGATACTAGTCTCACTACTAATTTACCAAATCAATTCTACAAATGGTGGCAAACCTATTATGCATTTCCTGGATCACCACTTGAACACATAAAAGTGATGCTAGTCGCAAACACCAATCGTACTTTAGAAAGTACTAGCGGAGGTACCCGATGGTAGTCATGATAATTTTATAAGATATACTTGACATATTAGAAAAAGACGTCACTATGATGTCCTATCAATTATTGGAATTCGATATCGCAAAATATGTTCAGATCACTTTCCCTTTTCAACTGATGTTTTCCCCATTTTTAATTAAAAAAAAAATTCTATCCTTTTCAGTGTTCTTTTTGTTTGATCGACTTCTTTTATTATAAAAGACCGTTTACCGAAATACAACTTCGATTGCAACGCTTTTTGATACAGAACCTTCTCGATTTTCGCAACAGGGGCCAAAATAAACAAACTCTTCCCAGTTCCAACTCCTCAGCATGCTACGTTAAGTTGGTCATGAGAAAGGCAAGAGCTCTCTAGATTAATGCCAACCACCTTAAGTAATTACTCTTGAGCCTTGTCGATAGACATCGCGAAGGAAAGACATGCAGTAAATTGAAGACGCTTGAATTCAAACGGTATATCTGTAAGAACCATGAATATTCATGGTACGAATACATGCTCACTCTTTGGGCAGCCTGTCAACATTATTTTTCTTATCGTACATTAGAGATAGAGATTAGAGAATTTCCAATTTTCACAACCTGGGTGACATTACATTCGATTACCTTCCTTTCCTTGCCTGTCGCGCCAATCTACTCTCAATTTTTCTCTCCACTAAAGAGTATATCATGGAAATTTTGATGGCGCTAGTTATTACCGAAATCAAATGTACAAACAGCAGACAGACAAACATTGTTATTTATATAAACAGAAGAAGACACTCGCTTCCAAACCCTATACCCACATTCAGTGCTTAGATCCTTGAATAGAACTCATTGCCTCTAAAGTCCCTACCTGACTTTTCTCCTAACAACCAAAGATTGATTAGCTAGGTTTCTTAGTAGCCCAATTCCTATTGGTTTCCAAACAACTCTTTAGATTTCAAGGCAAATAGACCTCACATTCGAACTCATCATTTCGAAAAACCCCCTGGTCCATCAATTCCTTCAAAGTATAAGTGTTCTGGTCTATTTTCTTAAGTACTGAAGTTCTATTAGTTTCCAAACAACCACTCAGGTTTCGAGGCAAATGGACCTCAGAGTTGAGCTCACAATCTCTACATTCCCGTGCCCCATCATTTTCTTGGAGGTATACGAGTTTTGGCCCGTTTTCTCAAGAGCTAAATTCCTATTGGTTTTCGGCCAACCAATCAGATTTAGAGCCAAATGGACCCCAAATTCGAACTCACCGCCCTCGAAAACCCTGCGCCTCATGATTTCCTTCCAAGTATGAAAATTTGGGTCTGTTTTCCTAAGAGCTGAATTCCTATTGGTTTCCAAACAACCAATCAGATTTCGAGGCGAATGGGTCTCAGATTCGAACTCAGCGCCCTCGAAAACCTCTAGTTCCATGTTTCCTGTGTGTTCATGAAGTGGAACTCAGTTATAGTTCTATAGTACCGAATGTTGCAACCCTATTGGTCGATTTCATAGATCGCCTGTAGCATGCGTAGGATTCGTTTTTTTTTCGGAAAAAATACATGTCGACCTTCCCCTGGGTGTAAAGACCATTTCTGGAAAGTTTCATAGCATTTGCTCGTACGGTCTTCAAATGCATAGCGAACAGACAGACAAACAAACAGACAAACATTCTTCTTTATATATATAGATTTTCATTCATAAGAAACCTCCGCGCGAACTATTAACAAAAATGGAAACAATATGAACAATAGCTATTTACACACTCTATCTACTAATGTCAATTATATTCAAATGTTCGACAGATGTCAACTATATGAAATCGTACTTATTCTCCAGCAGTTTCTCCTCATAAACACTTGATACAACACATTTGATTTATTGTATTTTTCTTTCGAAGAAATAATAAAAAGTAAAACAGTGCATAACATAAGTTTTCTTTTCTAAAAAACAAAGCAATCTTCTATAACAAACAGAATCTCATATACTATTTCCCCTTTTTTCTTTCAGATTAACTCTCTATAACTTCGCTATTCAAATAAAGAATATTCTAGCCTGATTTATCTCAAATGGCTTGCCACAACAACGACACAATCGAAATCAATAACACTTCGTCATTCTCATCGGATGTCGAATTAGAAAAAGGAAGTCTCGATTGGAACACAGAATTTCCTTGGAATCATCTTATATATACACACCTATTATAAGAAATATGTGCGATATATTAGATTTTATCTCATTATTTTGAATATTATAGAGAGTCTTTTGACTTCTGAATTTCAACTTGTTTGAGATTCTATCTTTTCCAATGCAGGTCTAATCTATCCAGAACTTACCTGATGATGACTATTTAAGCAATAGTCGAAACGATCGTCGTAAGAAGCTTGGAATCATCTTATATACACACACCCACACCCACCCTCACCCTTTTTGGCATTCGACCAGTAGATACCCATTGTCAGAGATGTCAATTGTGGATAACAGGCACTGGCAAAAGTTGACAGATGCGTCTCATCAGTGTTATCTATAGGACAATGTTGAATAGCGAGTGTTCTCAAGTGAGGGGAGCGACAAAAAATTAGATGGAATTCTCGATAGTCGCAGTTGACAATACTCAAATTCTGTATTTTGCATTGAGGTGGTCATTGTATGTGGTTGACTGTGTAATCATAATCATTAATTAGATCTAGATTCAATAGACTAGATTGAGCGACAACTGCTGAAATAATAAACAGTGCTCTGCTATTTTGTCCGTCACACGACCTGTCTGAAGACGCTGTCGAAGAGGAGAATTATGTAGACCGTAAAAATTGGCTCAATGCACCATTTTGCGTTTGATAAAAAGTTAATGAACGAATTCGAATGAATCGATGAATATCAATGGTGGAGAAAAATGAATCGATTTCACCTGATGTCTTCACATCACCATCCGAGAAAATTAGTGAAATGACGCTTTCGGGTTTAATGACATGAGAAAGAAGTTTAAAGTTAGACTTTTTAATCGAAGCTAAGTCAAGCTTGAAACGATTATATGTATTAACAATGTTATAAAATTGTGTGCAGACGCATCGAACTGAATGAATAATGGTGTGTACATCGAGATATTCGAAAATGTGATGATGAAGTTCAGTTGGTATAATCAAAAGAGACGCATTAGACATTGCCGTGTATTCCGATTAATAGCATCTCATACAAACCATAACGAAAGAAAAAAAAGTATTTCGTTTCTACCATCAATGACATGATGTTTTTTCTTTGTTGATTGGACAGCGTTGTTGATCAATGACTCTGACTCATTTCTATTTGCTGCTTTCTTTCTGTGTAAAAAGTCAAACGCCTGTATACAGGGTGGTCCATAAGTAAATACGCGATAAGAAATTTCGATATCTTCGCCATTTGTCGACTAAAGAAGCTGAAATTTTTAGCAGTGATAGAGGATTACTTAAAATTTTTTTATACAAGACAAATCGACAAATCACTGTTCCTATCTAGTGAGATCGACGTCAATAAGAATTTTTTACTTGTTACGAACTCTACAATATGTAGTCAAAACTATTTCCGTGGTAATCAGATTTTCATTCAACAAAATAAAAATGATAATCGATTTCGAATAATTTCTTTGTCTTACCAAACGAAAAATCTTCAAAATCGATTATTATTTTTATTTTGTTGAATGAAAATCTGATTACCATGGAAATAGTTTTGACTACACATTGTAGAGTTCGTAACAAGTAAAAAGTTCTTATTGACGTCGATCTCACTAGATAGGAACAGTGATTTGTCGATTTGTCTTGTATAAAAAAATTTTAAGTAATCCTCTATCACTGCTAAACATTTCAGCTTCTTTGGTCGACAAATGGCGAAGATATCGAAATTTCTTATCGCACATTTACTTATGGACCACCCTGTAGATATATTTCAATAACAACATCACACCTATGCTATCGTGTATTTAAATATTAGAATATTGAATATGAAATATCATGTCTCAATGTAAATATTTTATCCACACAAATACAGAGTCTGTCAATGCAGTATTACAAGAGGTGAAAATAAGAAACTTATCAGGTCTTACCATTATGCATTTTTGATATATTATTAAAGTTTTTACATTTAAGATAAATGAATGTCTCCTAGTAAAATAGTTGACAATATTGAATAAATCATCATATGTTCTTCTCATGAAAATGTATTCATACTCTGTGGTACAACAAAAATTGCATCGAAGAAATGTAGATGTAACAAAAAAAAATCATTCGTTATGCTGCTAACAACATGGAAAAGTAGCATCAGTTAAGCTCTGTTAAAAATCAAAAAAAACAAAATTTGATCGTCGACACCGTATGGAAAAACTTTAGATTGTTGACTGTATTGTGCATGGATCATAACGTATAATAATATGAAAATTTGAACTGATGTTGAATATGGTACTTTGCAATGGCCAATGAAATAGTTAAAGGTCTTGTAAAATGTATTCATCCTATGAGTATCGTACTGATAGATGAAGAAATAGAAATTTTTGAAGCTTTCATTTGTGTCAGAAATTTCTGCTTTTTATATTAATGTAGTATCGAATACAATCACAGACTCAAAAAGCATTCTCGCCGTAATTGAAACTTCACAAAATCAAGGATGCAGAAAATGCAAGGGAAAACGAAATCTCTCAAAAGATGACTGTTTTGAATTATTTGTAAATCATCAAATGCATAATTTAATTCTGACTACAAATATATTATATTTTCTAAAAAGAAGATTATTCATTCCACCTTCTCCATTTTCTTTTTGACTTGTTAAAATTTTTCTTGCTAGGATAGTAAAAAAAGATCTAGTTTGCTCTTTCCAAACATGAAGACA